CCTTTAGCTTTGACCGGTAATGGATCCAACAAAATATCGTTCGCTTTCGGTCTATTAATGTCGGGTATGTCCACGTTGCCAATGTCCAGCTTTTCACATAATGATTGAATTCCCTCACGAGCAATCTTGAAGCACTCACTAGATTTTGCCCCTTTTAACATTAGTTGTAAGTTGTTTTGTTGAATAGTACCATACCTGATTGACACAATATTTTATACAAAGTGAGTAAAATTAATGTTCACCTGGCTTCGAACCAATATTATAAAAAAAATTGATAGTCGTGGCAAACCTCAATGCGAAAAGTTGCGATTCATCTATTATGTCCGGTTCCTCCAAGCTCTCTAGTGTCTTCGACTTCTTTGACCATCTTCGACGTACTAGGCCTTCAGGAAGTTCCAGTATGCTCTCTTCTTTCAGTAAAAAAATCATATGACGGCATGGTATTCCCATATAATCGTAGTGATTACAACTACACTCCATTGCAAAGGGTTCAACTGTGTACACTCCAAATAATTTAGTGACAGCTACATATCATCGCTAATAGTGTTTTTTTTCGTCAAGAGTTAGCAACGTCGCAAATATTGGAATCCTTATTTGTGATATCTCTCGTTCGTCGTAAATATAATATTTGTGACGATGTTCAATTGTCCCAAATATCATTAAACGTCGTCCTAAAAAATGTATTACCGATGACTTTATTAATTATAGAGACGGATATGTATCGTCATAAATAGGCAACGTCGTCAAAAAAAAGTATTATCGATGACTTTTTTTATCATAGCGACGACTAGGGATGACAATAAAACCCATGGCCGCGGGTATCCGACCGCCCCCGACCCAGTCAACGCGGGGAATCCCCGCTTTGACCGGGTATGGGGCGGGTATGGGTAAAACACGCAAAAAGTTTGATGGGTATGGGGCGGGTATGGTTTTGACCTCCCCCGCCCCATACCCATACCCATACCCGCCCCACCAAGAGAATTTCTTCACATATAAAAAAATATGTGGATTAAATTGTAATCTATCAATGGTAATGAGGATAAATCAAGGAAATAAATAGTAGAAATGCAATTGAGTGACCATTTTAATCAAAATCTAATTCATTTCCCTCAATTCTCCTTTCACTCTTTCACTTTCTCCCTTGTCTACAAGATTATGTTAGTTAATTATTACTTAGTAGATGTATAAGAGTTAGAAGATAATAATTTGAAATATATTATACTCTATATTATGTATTAATGGATGTTTTAGGATCATATACTTTGAACCGTATTAAGAAAATGACCGTGTTTTATTGACTTCATGATATAATAGGTTCGTTTAGAGTTATAATTAAATTTTTTCTTGTAAGTTTTAGGTATAATAATGTTGGATATATGGGTACGGGTATACCCATGGGTACCCGAAACCCACGGGTATGGGGATGGGTTTGCAAAACATTCCCCCGCATGGGTATGGGGCGGGTATGCGTTTGGGTTTTTGAAGATGGGGATGAGGATGGTTTAGACAAACCCGCCCCAAACCCGCCCCATTGCCATCCCTAGCGACGACTATATCTCGTCAAAAAAACGGACAATGTCGTCAATCGTCGTCAATGAGAATTTATTACTGACGAGATTGTTAATTTTTCCGACGATTCTTTGTCGTCACAAAAACAAAAACTGGGTAGTTTGTCAATTTGAACAGGTATTAGAGATGACTCCAACCTGTCGCAAAATAGCTTTTACGACAGCTCGTCACGAAGAAAGCTTTTGTGACGCTCGTATTTGGAACGACGCTCGACGGCCTCATGTCGTCGCAAAATCCCATTTCCGACGAAATTTGGCCTTTACCTACGTAAACCTCTGGTCACTAATGGCACGCTTTTTTTAGTGTAGACACCTTGACCTTGTACACACACTCAATTTCCGATCGCTCTGACTGCACCCTTATGCAACATGCTGACTTTTCAACCTCGTCTCTGAATAAGAAGAATGTGTTCTTTGTGAAAACCATCGCTCCACTCTTCTGAAGTGAGACTAAGACATTGCTTGTGATGGTTCGTTCTCGATGAATGGATTCAAAATCAGCATGACGCTCATTCTCCCTCATATCCCTAGTCCAACGATCAAAGTGAATAAAGAACTCAAGGAGATTTGTATCATTTTCGAAATAATTGGCAAGTTGAGAGTTCACTCCTTCACATCTTGATGTTGTACTCAAGCCTACGAAGAACTTCGTACGAAAATATGCAGACCCCCATTCATGTCTTTGCGCAAATAAATTGGAGACCCAATTGTTGTGCTGAAGGGAGCATTCCTCAACCACTGATTTCCACTTTTCTTCGAAATCTGAAGGTTCCCAATCAGTTGGCACAAAATGCTTCCATCGGCGCAAAAAAGTAGGATGATTCTTCACATTTCTGGTTATAGTCTTGTCTATATGCAGGAACATAGACGATGTGTTGCATCGGCAAAATACTTTATGAATTGCATTACGCATTGCTTTATCCCCATCTATAATAACAGTCTTGGGATCTACACCGCCTAGCCTTCTCTTTAAAGCTCCCAACACCCAAATATAATTTTCCTCTCTCTCGTTAGCCAAGAAAGCACATACAAATACGCAAGTTTGCGAATGGTGGTAGACACCTAAAAAAGTACAAAATAAGTTAGATTATGCAAACTGTTAGGGTTACTTTAGCATGCTCGGGATAATTCCATGTGTGAAGGACAAGTACCTGAAAAAATCACGAGAGGCATCTGGTAAATGTTCCTTTTGTAAGTAGCATCGAATGACAGTAATTCTCCAAAGCATGCATAATCAGCGACAGAAACACTATCGGCCCACAAGATGTTAATAAGCCGGTCGTCGTCATCCTTCTTTAGTTCAATAACGAAATGATCGTCTGCGATGCATTTAGCTTGCCGGTAGGCTAGGGATGTTGCGGCATCACCTTCACTGATTTGTTCTTTCCTCTCTTTGTCCACATAATTATATACATCCTTCCTCGTGTAGCCCAAATTGTCGTAGCCTCCTGCTTCTAATACGACCAAATTCACAATTTGAGAAGTTTTTATGCCTGCAACTCTTCTAAAATTTATCGTTGCTTTGACTGCATCACTCATACGACGTTTCCCTTTCATGTAGTGCCTATATTCTCTGGGGATCATTTCATGTGTGTGTACATCATCAAACTGGTGCACATACCACTTCCCATCGACCTTGTCGTGTTTAACATGCATCTTGGCTCTGCAGTTAAATCTGGTCTCCCCTCTTGCTTCTCTCTTTCGTTTTGTGCTTTTCATGCACCTCTTTCCCTCACCAGAGCATACATAGTCATGCCATATCATCACTTGGTTCTTATCACGACCAATGTCTGATTTTCTGATGTCAAAGCCTTTGACCAACCCGTAGTCCATGTAGAAATCATAGGCTTCTTTTGTATCATCGAACTTCATTTTTTTAATATCTTCAGGCTGTAGAAATATGAGATCGGCGACATTATCTTCCTGGGTGGTGTGACTGGCTCCGGCACCATCATTTTCTTGGACTGGCTCCGACATCAATGGTGGGACTGCCTCCGACGTCATTGTCAATGCGACTTATTTTGGGGAACAAACGTTGTAGATTACAAAACCCTACTGGGAATGATGGCCGAATTAATGCTTGAATGAGCCACTTAATAATTATCCCCATTAAACCGAATCATAACACGATTTGTGATATTTTATTTTTTTGGGAGGAACGATTTGAACTTTTTATTCTTTATCTTAGTAATTTCTTTACCATTTTCATAAATAACGAAAATATTTAAAATGATAAGGAATGCTTAGTAAAACCAAACGCCAACTGACTCTATCTGTGTACTATGTGTATGGGGAAGGACCAAATATTAATATGAGAGAATATTTACTAATAGCACTCAATTTTTTATTCAATCGAAAAACAAAATATATTTTTATTTTTAGTAACTACCCATGTTTATCCCAAGTTCATGTACCTTAGACTAAACCCTAACTATTTTTCCACGGGAAAAATATGCCGCCACAATTTATCCCTGTAAGCTAGTATATATAATTAATCTTCAGCGGTAGAGCAGTGGTTCCATATCCTTCTTTGCCGCAATTTTGAGTACAGACTAGAAGCTTAGAGGCACAACATGAAAAATAGGAAGATTACTCGCTCTTCGTCCAAGCTTGTGCTATGTCAAATAGCGCTTTAACCATTAAAATTCATTCTAGTTAATTTATTAATCGTAGGTTCACTGTCATTGAAGGAGACCAACGAATTTGTGACTCCAACAAAGAAACCAAGGCTACCCAAAGGTGTGCGCACTCCATCCACTGCTGCTTCAGTCATCGTTTCTATTTCGGACGATGAATCTGACTCTGAGGTAACTCCAAAGAAGCCAAATGGAAAAAGTATTTCCCTAAGTTCTGTTGACAAGGTAATAAAAGTGTCCTATTTGTCATACTGTTATGGAATATGATGATGAGCAAATCCAGCTTGCTCACTATATATTTTAAGCTACCTATTGGTCAAAACCTCAAACAACTCTTGTACCAGGAAGTCATTGTGGTTCTTAAGCCCTCGCTCATTCGTAGATGCTGAAGTAATCTACGGAACTCCAAAATTTTGTTTTGTTTGTCCACTATCCATGCTTTATAGGTAGAAATATTTTCTAAAAAATATATAGTATCATGAAGTGTTTTTTGTTCATGTTATATTAGGTTATAACAGCTGTGGCCTGTCACTTGACTCTAGAAGAGTTGTGCACCAATTCTAAGGACGGAAAAAGAGAGTGATATATGTCTGCTGAACTATAGGTTGTGGGCCGATTTTGCTTAAGATTAATTTCCTGTCAGCAAACGGTAAATTTGTGACACTGTGCCGTTATAACCCAAAAAATGTAAATACATCTTTCTCAATACAAACGTTTCTTAATTTGTGCAGATGGGATTTATGCAAGCCTTATGGAAGATTCTCTATCGTGAACAAGGTCCGGGATTGTTGCCACTAAGGATTGCGGTGTTTTCGTACACAAATCCTTCAAAGGATCAAGAACAACTACATCGGTAAGTATGTTTGTTTTGCGTGATATTAAACGACGGCTTATCAACTTGTTTATCATGCAATGCTTTCATTTTATGTAGGTCTGACAGTGGAGTCTGGGTCTGCATGTGGATGTATGACGCAAGCTGGGACTCCTCTTATATTTGGGTAAAGACAATTCTAGTTAGCATATTGGAAAATCACACTTGTTTGTTATTTTTGAATCATGCATTAAGCACCATGTTTGTTGATGTTGATAGCCATGCACTCAAGTGAGGAGGATGCAGATCGCTTTGTACCTTGTTCGAGAGCCCATGAACTACATAAGGCATACAGTGCTCACAGAAGCAAGAACAGTTGCACCTCAAGTTGAAGCTGCAGTCGAAGAGTACAAGAAAGCCCATGAAAGGAGGAAAAAGGAAAGAGAAGAGCACAAGGAAACCCAGTCGAAGAGCCCAAGGACAACCTGATTTTGCGTTTTTTTTCAAGATGATGGACAACCATGTTATGTTTTTTTTGTCAAGATGATGGACAACCATGTTATGTTTTGTTTTTCAAGATGAAGGACAACCATTTTTAGTTTGGTGAATGCTTTCTATATTTGTTTTTTCGTGGAAACTATATTGACTTTTCAGAAAGGAGTTTGCTTTTAAAACCCTATGCCAAGTAGACATGTATGCAATTGGGGTCTTCTTCAATAACAAATTACTTTTAAACCCATATGCCAAGTAGGCAAGTCGCAACTCGTCCACAATTAAAGTCGCAACTCGCAGCCATCCCTTCCGTATCGAGTCTCAAAGTATCTAGCTTGAACCTGGCTACTACCTTAGCCAAAAACTGGCAATTTCCAGCTTTCCAGTTACACTTTTGCACAACCTTTAAAGGGACCTTCGGGACTTGATCTCCAGCTCCCAAGTAATCCCAGGTGTTTACAAACATCTCAGGTTCAATACAAATCAATAAAATCTGATTTTCATCGAGCCATGCATGACGAACAGGCTTCCAAAGTGAGCTCCCCGAAATGGCAAAGGGACTGAACCAAAATTCCAGCTTCCAGCTTGTGAGTGAGGTTGCTTCTGTTTCAAGCCATTGTATCTTGTAGAGATGTCTTATTAAGATCATATCATTCCACTTCGTTCCCAATTGCCCTCGTCTAATTAAATTTGCATTAATGTCTGGTTAACCCAAAAAGTAAAACTGATTGGCTCCCAATCAGCATAATTAATGACGAAAACCCGTACAAGGCAGATAGAAAATTCTTAGGTAATTAATTTAATGTTCCTGGGATATGGAAAGGCTTCCATTCCTTGAATTTCCACCAACGATGTATGCACTCCCCTTTTAGTGAGAGAATTCATTGTATTAATAAATACAATAAAAGGCTCACATAATTAATGGATTCTTTATTGTGTATAATTAAAAGGGTATATTTACTATAAACGAAGCATGAGTCTTGATAAAAAAGGAAAAAAAATCACCATAGATCAAAATTCATTATAATCAAGCCATTTAAAATCCATACTATTCATGCCTATCATCACTATACTTGTGACCAAATATAAATAAAATCATAATTTTTGAACACCATGAAAAATTGAAGATGAAATAAGTAACACATTCTTCGACCTAATTGGAACTGCTTATAATAAAAGCGGATGAAATAAGCCTATCAACTTTTGTTTCTATATGGTTGTTGTGTTCTATTTTGTAATATATTTTTCAACTCACATGTCTATCGAGTATACTTGTGATTGATTTTGTAGAAGATGATCATTGCTAAGCTGATGGGGAGAATGTTGGGAGCAGCATTGCAATGGAACCCAGCAAAATCAACAAAATCGCCAGCTGGAGAAATCAGTCTCACCATCAAGGAAGTTTATGCAACTAAGCACCAGCGGGAGGAAGATTGAGGAAATCATCCTTAACATATTGCAATTCATATGGAAAGTTACAGATTCAAGGAACAAGCAAGGAAAAGAAACTTTATAATTCCAACGACTATGAGGAGAAGACAAGTGTATATGTAGAGCTGGAAGCCAGAGTAATCGACAGACTTTTCAAAGTGATCAAATCAGAAGGCTTCTAGCGAGTTAGCAATTGGGTTTGAGGATTTATGGGTAAATGTTGTTTGGGAAAACAACAACTCTATTAGCGGGGTAGCTGATAGGATTGGTGTGTCGATTTAGCAGGGAGGTAATCGACTAGGATTGAGAAATCATTATAATCATGCGGAACGTCAACGATCATATACTTGTTGCTTCGTTTGAGATCACAAAACGTGATAATCGAATCGTGGAATAGTCAGTGTTGAGATCCTTATTCTCTCAGCACTGGAAATCACGTAAAAATTCTGGGTGTTCTGTGTTCTCTCCTTATTTCTGCTGATATTTGGTTTTTACTCTGTTCGTGGTTGTTCTTGTGAATCTACACAATAAATAAAAGCCAAATGAGAAAACTTGAAGTCCCATTTCAAATTTCCTGCATCCAGAGTGAAAGTAGGAAGGGCATTTTGGTCTTCACAATTACTTTTTTTTTATTCATTAAAAAGACACTTACTAGGATTCGAACCATGACCACTTTCAAGAAAAGCAAAGATCATAACCAATCACACTAAGTACGTTTGTTGTATCTTTTAAACACAATAAATAAAAGCCAAATGAGAAAACTTGAAGTCCCATTTCAAATTTCCTGCATCCAGAGTGAAAGTAGGAAGGGCATTTTGGTCTTCACAATTACTTTTTTTTTATTCATTAAAAAGACACTTACTAGGATTCGAACCATGGCCACTTTCAAGAAAAGCAAAGATCATAACCAATCACACTAAGTACGTTTGTTGTATCTTTTTAAATTGAAAATATATAATCGCAGTGAGGAAAAAACCCTTTCCCTATTTCAAATTCCCTGCTCCAGGAGCGTTTGCAGGAAGGGTAGAATAGGGAGTGTCAATTTTTTCCTTTTTTCTCCGTGGAACGGGCCAACTTACCGTACACAAGTGGATTTAAACGGGTCCGAGAGTGTCAATTTTGTTCTTTAAGTCCTTTTATTTCTCCGTGGTGGTAAAATATATATGAAAAGGCAAAAACAATACTCCTTTTTATTGCTAAAAAGAAAAAAATTTAACAATAAACTAATGCATGGATTCTAATGGGCTAACCGCTAATCATAAATAAAAGAGTTGAATAGGTCTAACCTACACGGGATTTGCCAATCAAGTAATACAAATAAACATCATGGGTTTGTCATTCTGAAACAAGCTATTTTCTCTAGCATAATATATATTATGCTATTATTTTATATCTTAGTGGCTAAAATATAATGTATTTTAAAGTTATTCAATGAACCTCGACCAACCCAATTAGTTCAATTTTTATCATTTCAAATATATATTATGTAATTATTTGATATCATAATGATTAAATTATAGTGTATATTATAGGGAATCGTTTGATATTTGTTAGTAAAAAACTAAACAGAAAGATCTATTTGGTTATTTTTAACATTAATTTCATTAAAACGATTCTAAACATTTTCAGTTTCCTTTAAAAATTCTATAGCTTTATTCCCGAATCAGTGATATGCAAATGGCGAATTGCAGTCATCTCTTTTCTTTCATTATTTTTTATTTTCAAATAGAAAGTTTAAAAGTAAAGAATAATTAGAGGTTGGCATGGGTCGGTCAAACATGCGGAATTTCAAGTTTTGGCCTGTTTTGATCAAGTCTAATTTATAATCACATGGTTCCCTGATACCCGATAAAAATCTCAATACAAACCAGTTTGGCAGGTGAGTCCGTGTTTACCACCATTTTCTAGGGATACAGGAACGGTGGTTCCTATCCTAAATCGTGTTGTTCATTCTTGATTTCTTTAGATTTTATCATGGCTTGGCAAAAAACCAGAAAGCACAATGATGAAAAGATGAAAGTTTTATAAAACAAATTAATCAGCCAACGGGCCGAGTAAAAGCTAGCAACGATTGTGAGATGCTCATTTCCCGAAAAACCGGCGGGATAGGCGATTTTTTATTCGATTTTCTGGAATTCGGTTTCTATAAAACTTACTCCACCTCATCATATTACCAGAAACAATATTGTTTCACAAGGTAACAGGTACTTGATTTTGGTTCATAAGGCTGATTTTTGATTCGTTGCATCATTCATGTCTCTTTCCTACTAAAATTCACTATTTTTATCACGTGTTTCCCCAAAAAAAAGTATACAACAATAAGCTATACACTCCATTACATTATCAAATTTCATACCTCACCTTCCTCCGGCCAAATGGCCGGGGCCCACGCTAGTTTTGTTTTATAGGGGTTTCTTGATCGAAAAGAACTTGAGGAGAAGCTGTAGGTGAGTTGGTAAAACGTTGTACTTTGAGGGAAAAGGGTTAATAAGGTTTGCGACATCACTTGTGGTGATTGGGCTTTGGTGTATCTTTCTTTAACGTAAAGGTTTGGGCTCTTTAATAAGGGCTAATACCACTGGAAATACCAACCTTTAGCGAAAGTGCCATTTATAATACGTAACTTCAATAAATACAAAAATATTCCAACCTATTAGATATTTGCGTCATTTGTGTTACGGGAATTTTTGTTGACCGTTAGAATTGACAGTTAACATAACAGAAGTCAAAACATGTTTGACTCTTAATGACATTGCATCATTTATCATCCACCTAAGCGCCACATCGGCTTTCTCTCTCTCTCCCTCCCTCCATCTCTTCTTTCTTTCTTTCTTTCTCTCTCTCTCTCTCCCTCCCTCAGAGTCGCCAACGACTACTACAGAGGAAACTCCTCACCTTGAATTAGCCCAGCCCCACCCCTTCCAATTACCAGGATAATCGCCCCACCTCAAATTAACCATTTCCCTCAAATTAACCCACCCAATTCGACAAACCCTCCTCCCCTCCGCCATTCGACATAGCCGACGGCGACCTGGAGCAGCGTAGCAGTCCCAATCGTGAGGGTTTTTCGTCAGTTGTAGTCGTCGTTCGACAAAGAATGTCCCTGGTCGCTTCTCATGGCTTGACGAAATCGTGAGAGTTTCTGGTGGTACCCACAAATCCAAGCAAACGAGATCCCGGTAGTTCCACCATCGTCATTTTTTGGATTCCCGAGGTAGTTGATTCTTGGTTCTTGAAGAAGAATGAAGTAGCCGCCTTGACTGATTCTTCTTCCCAACAATCAATTTTACTTCTTAGCCGAATTCGAAAGACCCAATCAATTCTGTCTCGGAAACTCAATTTTGAATCCAAATTTCAAATTGATTCCCAGTTGTGCGTGGATTTTAGAATGTGTTGTAAGCGTCTGGGGTGTTGGCGTAGCTGGTGAAGGACTGGGAGCAGGCGTTGGTGTCGTCGCTTTAGCTGGAGAAATCGAGCTTGTGGTCGTTGCTGACAGAGTCGTAGGTGGTGAAGCGGAGACCAGGCAAGTTGACTCAGTTTTG